ATGTTTTCACCACAAAAAAGTGACAAGTGTTTGAGCTGACAGATATACAATTGCACTCATTTGATCATTTCATCATGTACATATGGATAGAAATAGCACACTGTACCCTATAAATTTGTACTATTATTATGTGTCAATTTAAAAGGAAAAAAATACTAAATTAAGAAACAATAATTTGAAACCAAATCTTCTTTTTTCCAGACTTCATGGGTGATTGGTATCCAATATGTGAGGCACAGCTTGTATTGCCATTTGGAATTATTATGAATATTTCTGATGAACTTTCCTTTTTTTCATAAGATTACAAAATATCTTTAGCTTCCAAGAGAGCAGCCCGTGTAGAACAACACTGGAGTTTCTTCAAATACAGTAAAGGTGATGGGTCTTCTGGCCAGATAGATCTAATCATAGGACTCACTTATTGGAGCATGCATTGTGTTAAAATCTATCTAAATCTTTTTTTTTGGGGGGGGTGATTATTAAGCCCAAGAGTGCTTTACTATGAAACTAAATCTCTAGCCCAATTTCTGTTTTTTTGGTTTTTTTTTTTTGTTGTTGTTGTTGTTGTTGTTGTTTGTTTGTTTTTTTGAGACAGGATCTCACTAAATTGCTTAAGACCTTCCTAAGTTGCTGAGTCTGGCTTTGAACTCTCCATCCATCTGCCTTAGACTCTAGAGCCTAAGGTGGAATTAGATGAGTAGAATACTGCACCTAGCTCTAAATCATATCTAAGTGTTAGCTCATGTAATATGAACACCAAATGAAGATAAAATTTTGTTTATATTCATTACTTACTAAGGAGGTGATGGAGGCATAATCAGTTGTAGTTTGAATAAAGCAAAGAGACTTGATGGAAAAAGCAACTTCTTCCTGCTTTTTTCCCAAATATGTGACTGTGTGGAGCAGAGAAGAGACTGAGAGCTAGTGTTAGGACCTGTCTCGTCCAGGTATGTGAAATGTAGACCATAATAAGAAAAAAGAAAGACAGATATACAAGGGGAACCTTCCATGCAACATTTTCAGATTCTTCCAGACCATGTTTATTCTTCTATAATAGTCACAATTTCTATGAATTAGCTCTTATTTCATTGATGCTCCCACTTCAGTGAAACTTTATTATTTGTATATACATGGACATGCTTTTATGTCCAACCAAAATGTGGGTTTCTGGTGATCAGAAAGTGTTTCCTCTGCATCTGTTGCCCTCTTCACATATTACCATGCCCTCTCAAGAATGGACACTCACATAGGAAAGTATCAAACAGAACACTTGTTTTTATTTCCTTCATCTGGAATATTTACTCCCACTCAGATCTCTGCCTTATTAGGAATAAGAATGTCCCCAGAGTTATAAAGTACAGTTATTAACTGCCAAAGCCATTCTGGATCACAAATCTTATCTTCTACTCATTTTAGTTTTGCATACCCTATATTGATCTTAGGTTTTCAGTATAAGGATATAAGAGTTGTGAACTAGAAAGTCCTGGGTGAAATATGAAAATTCAATATTAAGTGGGTGATGATATGAACCTCAAGTTGTGCTCTTTCTCCTTAAAGGATTTTATAAGAACTCTGATATTTGAATTCCTATGATATTTAATCTATTTTAATACAGTTTCATGTGTTACAAAATCTCTATGATAGACTAGATCTTACAATTAATACTAAAGAAACAATTGTAATTTCAAATTAGTAATTAACAAACTTTAGTGATCATGTTGTCATTACTGAATACATGTCATTAAAATTTAATCTTAATAGGTGCTGGGGTGGTGGCTCAGTGGTAGAGTGCTTGCCTAGCATGTGTGAGACAGTGGGTTCAATTCTCAACACCAAATATAAATAAATAAATAAATAAAATTAACAGTTCATTTACAACTAAAAATATTAAATATCTCATCTCAATAAATGCTGTGAATTGGCCATTGTTAAAAATGTAGAACACAAAGGATTGAAGAAATTAAGTTCCAAACTAAATAATTGAGGTTGAAAAAGCAATCCTAGTTTTTATGAATTGGGTATTGTGATTTTCTAATGTTTTATAGCTGGAAAAAATCTTCATTTAAACAAGTGAGCACAAAATAGAAATTTAACTAAATTATAATGGGTTTATAAAAGAAGACTCAATGCTTCATGTAAGTCAGGACTGAATTGAGAAATGCTGCTTAAGTACACAGAAAACAGTGATAAAAGATCATAATATGAAGTACAAATCACATGCAAAGAACAGAAACAAAGGTTGTAAATG